GCGTGTAGAACAGTGGATCTCAACCTGTGGGTCATGACCCTGCCTGATTCCTCACAGTAGCAAAATTAGTTATGAAGTAGCAACAAAATAATTTTATGGTTGGGGGGTCACCACAACATGCGACATTAGGAAGGTTGAGAACCACTAGTGCAGAAGATGTCACTGGAGGCGGCAGGAGCACCAGGCGCCTGGACACAGGGAGCCTGGGACCCACCACGCCCGCCCAAGAGGGAGTGGAGGAGCGCGGGGGGCCAGGCCTGGCCGAGGGCCACCGCCATGCTGGGCTGTGCAGCCACTCGGGGCCAGGCCAAGTCACCTGTCCAGATCACAGGGCTGGCAAGTGGCAGACTCTGAGCCGCCTTCCCTCAACCCCCAGCCGCCTCCCTCGACTGGGGCCTCAATTCCCCAGGAGGGTCAGGAGAGGCACCTCTGCAGGAAATGAGGGGCCAGGGGCTGCACCCCCAAACTGCTCCTGACTGCAGCTGAGTGGATGCCATTGTGAGAACTTCTCTGGAGGAAAATGGGCTGAGAGAGAAGACGTCTCTGTCACCATTTCAAGGCACAGATGCTACCTGACCCTCACACAGAGCTTCTGCTGCCCTCTGCACCTGGGGTGGGGGCGGGGGGCCAGTAGGAGCAGCAGGTACTCGGCTTTCCACGGAGCCGCTGTTCTGAGTCTCCTGCCAGCCTCCCCCGCACAACCGTGGTCCAGGGTACACATGGCTACATGAGTGTCCGTATGCACATGTGCACACACACGTGGCTACATGAGCGTCCGTATGCACATGTGTACACACATGGCTACATGAGTGTCCGTATGCACATGTGCACACACACGTGGCTACATGAGCGTCCATATGCACATGTGCACACACACGTGGCTACATGAGCGTCCGTATGCACGTGTACACACATGTGGCTACATGAGCGTCCATATGCACATGTGTACACACACGTGGCTACATGCTTGGGTGCCAGTGGCTCGTTCTGACCCAGGTTGGCATTCTGACTCCACTACCTACCAGCTAAATGCTGCCACCCCTTTTCTGTCTCGCATTGCTTGCTCCAATCTGGTAACAGGAGGTTCGAATTGCCTGCCTCCGGGCCTGCTGTGAGAACTCGGTGAGCTCTGTGGGGAGGCAGAGCAGGCAGCACCGCCCAGCATGTGTCAAATAGAGGCTGCTGCGCTCAAGGGGCTCTGCGGGAACCATGTGCACTCCGTTGTCACTCTGACGTGCGCGTTGGCGCGGAGTGAGCAGGAAGGAGAGGGTGTCCGTGATGGTGCACTTTTTTCTGTGTGGCTCCAGAGAACACACCGGAGAGAGGAGACTCCCAATGGCCATCTAAGATCCAACTACTGGTCTCTCTTCATCCGGAGCAAGTGAATGGAGGGAACCGAGGACTCAGAGAAGACATTAGTTCCCAGGCCTCCAACCCACACGATCAACGAGCCTGAGACGAGAAGAACTGGACAGTCCCCAGCTGCCACCACCAACCGGGAGCACCATAAAACCCAAACACCCACTCCCTGCCACCGCGTCCAGGCCAACGCGTAGCCACCCTATACGACCGAGGAAGCCTGCCCCTGCGGGTTTCCTGCATCTCTGGACATGAGTCGGGAGCCAGATCTTTCTGCAGAAGAGCAGCTGGTGGGTTTGAACTGCTGACCTTGTGGTTAGCAGCCCAACGCAGAACCACTGCGCCTCCGTGACTCCTTAGGGACACAAGAGAAGGGCCCAGATAGGAAGGGAGCCCAGGGTAGGACGAAGCTCAAATTCTCTCCAAAAGGCCAGATTCACTAGTCCAACCCCGGAAATCCTCACCCAAGCACCTTCCTCTTCTTCTTTCCAGGTGAGAGGATCGTGTCTGGAAACAAACGAAGGCTCAACACCCTCTGAACCTGGAGCCAAGGCCACTCCCGGTGGCCACCATCCTTCCCCGCAGTAGACGGGCGCGTCCGAGAAATGGAATCACCCTGAGTACTGGACTCCCAAGAGCACTTCTCCCAGTGTTCCTGCCATGGGCGATGCCAGTCGTTCTTTCAGTGGGGTGAGCTAGCTTCAGCCTCGTTATGCAAATGAGGAGGCCAAGGACGTGTTTCCTGAGCCCAGGTCTCGTGGGGTGGCATGATACTGAGCCTTGCAGCCGTCCTGACCGGGAGCCTGGCTCCTCCTCCCTATGCCCCTTTCGGGTCCTAGGCTAAGATCCTGAGGGCAAATCGGTCACCTGGGAGGGGTCATGGCCAGAGCCCGTGCAGTTGGAAGGTGCTGGCTCATGTGGGGAACCCCGGGAGAAGGTCTTCAAGTCCACGCCAGGTGGCCTGAAGGACCTGCGCCTGGCCCTGGAAAGGAAGCATGGATACTTCCTGGTGTGGAGCACCACTGGGGAGGAGGCCCAGGGCTATGGGCAGTACCCAACTGGGCCAGAAAGGGGCCGCCATGCTCTCAGGAGAGAGGACAGAGCTTAGCACTCTGCCGTCCCTCTGCTGGCACACTGCCCGGGAAGGTGCACTTTGAGGGGGGACCCTAGCCACGTAGTGCCGATACCAAAAATAAAACGAGTTGGAGAATGGGAGCTTCCCACCACTCGGACTCCCAATGGCTGCTCTCACCCAGCCGTGCCCGGTGTGAGGGGTTATGATGGGGGCACCCCTGTACCTGCCTTTTCTCTTTCTGAATAACAATGCCATCCCAAGGAAATGGAGCCTCTCACTGCCGGTGTGTGTAGCCAGCCTGTGGGCCCATGCAGAGGGGGGGTACAGGAGAAGCCAGGGGAGAAGGGGGGACAAGGGCAGTGTCCAGTTTGTGGGGACGCTGAGGACAAGAGCTGCTGTTAAATGCCATTGGGTCCCCTGACTCAGGGACCCAATGCAGTCGAACAAGCCACTGCCCCGTCCTGATTATCCTGTGAGCCACCGTGTCCACCCATCTTACCCTTGCTCTTGCAATGCCTCCTAGGGCTGGGGGTGGGCGGCCTGCAATGTCCCCCAGCAGCCTTCCCCGCTGCGGAGGTCCCAGAACCTCTGTGGATGAAGCCAGCACCTCCTGCAAGACTGGCCTCTCAGAATGGCTGCAGCTGAGGCAGTCCCACCCACACCCACACCCACCCCCTCACCCCTGTCCCCGCTCCATCCCTGTACGCTGGAGTCACGCTAGCTCACTCAGGACTTTGGTGCAGCAAGAAAGGACTAGGCTGAGCTCACAGAGCCGGTGTTAGAATCAAGAGTAAACTAAGGGGTCCTAAAGCCAGGGCTATTGCCCCAGCCCCGACAGTGCATCGTGTGTGGAGCTTCGGTATATCGAGGGGGAGGGGGGCTGTGGGGGGGGTCTCTACCATTACTTCCGACATGGCTCCCCAAAGAGAATAGCCGCGAAACATCTCACCAGAGGTCCGGGAGAGCCACGTGGCCCTGGGTTAGGAAGGACGAGCGAAGGATCAAACGAACGCTTTCCCTCTGTTCACGTAAAACCGCCGGCAGAGCCCGGTACGGTGTTAGTGCCCAGGAGCTGTGCTGGATGGCCCGTGGGCAGAGCGAGGGACTTCTTGACCATCCGGACACGGAGCCAGCCAAGTATCTGCTGTCATGTGAGGAAAATACTCCTTCCCGAAGTCTCTGGCCGGTGCCGCCTCAGTCCCACACTGACTGTGGGCCCCCAGCAGGTGGTCTCCACTCTACGACATGACTGGGCTGAACCAGTGGTCCCCAAAGACCTGTCATGCACAATGGGGGTAGGGAGTGGACAACAGGACACTTTGGAGTCTTGGGGTGGGGGAGACCCTCTGCAAGCTTCGGCCCAGGAAGGTGTTGCCGCCTGCCTAGAGAGTGTCCCCTTTCTGAGCCCATGCTGACTAGACTAGGGCTGTTCTGTGAGCCAGGAGGGCAGGAGAGGCCAATGGAAGCTGGCCCGGAGACTGGACTTCCAGAGCCCTATGGACCTGGATCCAAATCCTTACCCTCTGTCGCAGTGGATTTTGTCGACTTGAATTATGTGGGAAAGGGTAGGGGTGGAATCCATTAGGCCTGACGATGCCTCCTTGGGGAGGTGGCCTCTTTAAAAGGAAGAAACTAGGAAATTCCCCCTCAGCCCCTTCATCTCCCTGCTTGCTGGGCCTTCCTGAGCGATGCTGGTGCCCTGACCTTGGGTCCACACCACTCTGCTCCCATCGGCCTGCAGTCTTCCCGCTTCCCCTTTCTGTCTCACTGGTGTGCGGCCCCGTGGGCCTAAGAGCATCGGACTTGGGGACTTGAGTTGAGATGAGGACTTCTTGATATAAAGCCCTTTGCTCCACACGGACGAGTGTCCCTCGTTTCTCCAGACAGCACACCCAGCACACCCCCTCGGAGCTTCGATCGCTCATCGTCCTGAGGGTGCGGGGTTCCCCGCGGCAGGCTCCTGGCACAGAAAGCAGCAAGAGGCGCTCGCTCTCTCTCCCCTTGGAGGGCTGCGCGGGACCCTGGGACGCAGTGAGCAGGCGGGGTCATTTGGGAGGCATCGGCTTTCTTATTCCTACACCGTGCATGAGACGGCAGGCCACCTCCTCGGCGGCTTCTCCCGGTGATTCTGCTTCTGCAGATCCAGGTTGTTCACATGTCACTGGCGCAGAAACAGACCACCCACTGACTGCAGGCTGAGGGCTTTTGGGGGGCTCCTCTTGCATTTGTGTTACAGGAAGAGTGCCAAGTGGCCCTTGGGAAATGGTACCCTGGGTCTCCAGCTGGCAGGTGGGGGGTCGGGGGAAGGGAATTCGGAGTCAGCACTTCCCAAGGGTAAGCAGCTGGCCAGGGGCGCTCTGGGGGTGCAGGAGGTGAGCACAGGGCTCTCACAGGCCTCTGAGCCCTGGTCTCCTCCTCCATGAGAGCCCAGCAGAAGACCCGGTCATCACAGGTCTGCTGGGAGGCGACACTGGATGGCCAGGAGGGATTCCTCCCTGAAGATTCCGCTCCCCCCACCTTCTCCTCAGAAGCAGGCGCACGCAGTCACACACGGCCTGGTAGGAGATGGAGCTGCAGCACTTTAATGGGTGCAGGGAACGCAGGATGTCACAGAGCTGGTGGTCAGCACGCGCGCGCTCACACTCCCCAAGCACACGCGACGGATGGGCCCCAGCCACAAAGGGGTGCTGCTGGCGTGGCTGGGCGGCCGGAGCCCAAAATGTCCAAGTGTTTAATAAAAAAAGCCATTTGAATCTTAGTTTCTTATTCAAAATGAGTGGTGGGAGGGAGAAGTGCCGGCGGTGCCTTGTGGAAGCAAGAGCAACCCCAGAGCTTTGAAGACCAGACAGAGGGGCATTTTGTTTAAACGAGGAGACAGATGCCGGAGACCATCCCCTGCAGACCTCCAGAGGAACTCACTGATGGGAAGTGGGGGGACCTGGATCAAAATGGTAGCCTGGGTCAAATGGTAGCAATGCCAATGGGTACAAGGTCCCTCACTGGGATTGAGGGGCAAGGGGCAGGGGATGGCACCTGTGGATAGCTGAACTGTTATATGTGCTGCAGTGCTGGGAGCCCAGTGGGTGAGGTAAGAGACGGCGAGTCTAGTGGCTGGCCCCAGGGAGCGCGACTGAGGGAGCGAAAGGCCAGCTGGGTGACAGAGATTGATAGGCCCAGGCAGTGGAGCCCAACCCTGAGAGTCAATGGGGAAGCAGGGGCTCAAGAACAGGAGCCTGGGAGAGGAGAAGGCCGGATGCCTATGCTGCTGAGGTATTGGAGAGCCAGGAGGGGCCCCCTGACTTGGGGCTGCATCCTCCTGAGCTGACGAGGACCAAGCCCTGAGCAGTGCCCCACCGGTCGAGGGGCCAGCCAGGTCCAAAGGGGTTCGCTTGGCCTTCAAAGGCTACTCCTGGAATGCTGACCTTCTCCCCAAAGGTCCACGTGCTGGTGCCCCCTCAGCTACCCACCTCATCCTGTCCTCATGCCAGTGCTTCCAGAAGCTGCTGGCTTCCAAAGCCCTCCTGCTCCGCCTGAGATCGGTGCCGCGCCCCGGGGTCTTGGGCTGCCTGTCCTTGCACCCCGCCGGGGTCGGGCGTCCCTCCATGGCCTGAGGGGTGGACCAGCAGTGCGGGGCCAGGGGCTGGCTGTGCAGGGTAAAGTGCAGGCAGGGTGTCAGGCACTTGGTCTGGGGCCTCAGTAGCGGTAGACCCTCAGGGTGTTGGTCTCGTCCAGGCCCAGCTGCAGCAGACTGGGGGTGGCCGCCCGCTGGGGCTCCAAGAATTGACACCTGGCCCATGCGGTGAAGGAGAACTACAGGCGGCGGGTCCTCCGCAGACCCCGGCAGCACTCTCTGCGGCTCAGGTCGATCCAGAATGAACTGGAGTGCGCCAACTGGTTCAAAGGATACGCCCTGGGGTCGCTCTTGAACTGCGTGAGCCACTTCTGGTTGGCCTCCATCCCGCCCAGGAAGCTGCCACTGCCCACCTGGGACAGGTGGGGGTGTGAGCGCGGCAGGAGGCGGAGCTGCTCCCTGGGAAGGAGAAGGCTGGGTGGGCAGAGGGGCAGAGGGGCAGAGGGGAGCGGGTAGCGCTCCGGCCCGACGACACACGGATGACCGTCTCCCAGAGCCTCCGCAGTGCCTGGGATGAGGAGCACCCTCTGCCCTGGCCCGAGCTCTAGGCTTCTGCACCGCAGGCTCCCTGCCAGCCTCATAAGCAAAGGGACTGGAATCCTGGCCCCACATCCACTCCCAGGCTGGCCCAAGGGCCAAGGGAAGAGTAAGGAGAACAGGAACTTAGCAGCAGGTCTAGACCACAGCC